GTTAGTGCAAAATGTTTTGGGCTCAGCAAGACCAGTGCCATCTGGCTACTTGCCCCAGGGTGCTGAAGGGCAATGAGAATGCTTGTCACTTGACTTGTGGTTGCTCAAACCCTAACACAACTGTAACCCTAACGCAAAACCCTAACCCAACTGTAACCCCAACATCAAAATACTGGAAAAAGGTCAATGGAACTGAAATGATTTCTGCAACCCCAACCCTAACCATAGCTGTCTCCTGAGGGTGTCAAATACCTTAGTCAGGTGATGTTAATTTTTTCCTTTAAGGTAAAATGAAGAGACGGCTGAAATTCCGACTAGAGTGGTACGAGCTACCCAAATTGGCATTCCTGACTCAAATAATCATATTTATGCGATAGCCAGCTAAGCAGCTAATAATGAACCTTAAATTTGTGCACATAATTTTTAATGGAGGGGATGATAAGAACTAAAGTTACAATTCTTAAAGCATTCTCCTTTAAATACCTTAGTTAGGTGAAACAAACGATAGAAATTCATAAATTAATTTTGATAACTTTCCTTGAATGACTGACTCGTTTCTTAAAATTTATACTGTATGTAGATTTGACCGATTTTGATGAAATTTCGCCAAAACATTCCAGGGATAATGACGAACGAAAGCGTATCGGGAAATTTTCATATTTGAAATTTTTATTTAAGTGACGTCCATTTACGCAACTCGTCTCTTCAAGTAGTTTAAGGCCTGGGTTTTATGTTGGTTCGAGACCCCCAGCAGAGTTTCAGACTTAAAAATGGCGGCCGTTAGCGCCAGGCGCGTTCGAAGTTTAGATCAGAGAGCCTTTACGCTTTGGGGGAGGCGAAGATGGATATATCTACCGCAATTTTTTTAGACGACGTTGTTTTCTTGCAGATGTGTGGTCTACAGCTGAGGTGAGTGGTAGTTTTGTGTTTCATTCGGCAAGTTAGCTCTAATTTGCTGTAGCTTCCATAATGCTCTGAGGCGTAAATCCAAATACGAACGTTTCATTCAAGGAAAGCGCATTCTTTCGTTTACTAAATTATGAATAAGAAATTTTTTGGTATGTTCCGGAAATTTTCCATTCTCGTCACTGTAGGATGAGGTGGAAATTGATCAACCGCGGAGTCGAAAGTTACCCGTAGCGTAAATTTTGTTGTTTACCAAATTAAATTAAATGCCGCGGCTCAATCCCGAGTTAGAAATTTAACGGTGATTTACAGTACAACACTTTTGTGGGTAGATGTATTCATATGAGCTCCAACAAAGAGAGTTTATTACTTAATCTACAAGGCATGTAAATGAGGGAGAGCAAAAAGCTATGCGTCAACAGTGGCGTTCTTATACATGTGCAGCGAAATTTAAAGTATACATATCTATATGTTTTAGATTGAATCGACCTCAAGAGAGGTGACAAACTAAATTGGGATGTCGTCTTTAACCTTAGTTAACAATGACTAACTTGCCAGCCTGTGACGAATAACACAGACATTCTCAATCATACATGAACATGGTAAATAGGAATCTGACCATTACCTTTTCTTAACTATGATTTTTACTTAAATTCTTATACAACTTCCACATTCATCAGGGCATGTTGAGCAACTTGTGAAATTAAAGCCATCTAAGTTATGGCAGTTATATAAGTCAAGTAATGTAAACTGTTACAGGAGACTTCTTTTCTAATTTCATGTTCACAGTGTATTTTTTTCAATCCATAGGGACAAGATAGCTCAACAGCACAGCTATCTTGCAGTCAAACATAATTTTTGACTTGCTTATGATGAAGGTGAGCAATTAGTAATTAAGTGTTAATTACCAGTAACAAAGTTGCTCTTAATCCAAAGCTTTTGGTGGTAAAAATGATGGACAACAATCACTTTCCAGCAACT